TCCAAGTGCCGGCAAAGTCAGTATCTGACGAGGGCCTGCTCCTCAAAGATGATGCCTTCTGCGTCCTTACATAGCGGAAGGACAAAAGGGCTCCCTCGGGCCTCTTTTATAAGGGTAGTAATCCCATTCTCAAGGGCTCTGCCCTCCTGACTAATTATCACCCAATAGCCCACTGTTAATATCATCACACTGGGGGCTGGATTTCTATACATGAATTTTGGTAGGACGCAGACATTCAGACAACAGTACCACATGATCCAGCAATTTCATTTCTGGGTATAAACCCAGAAGGACTGAAAGGAGGGACTTGAAGAGATTACTTGTACACCCATGTTCATAGCAGCATTATTCACAACAGTCCAAAGGCAGAAGCAACCCGAGTGCCCATCAGGAGATGAAGGCTGAACTCAATGAGGCATCTGCATACAAGGGGATGTTATTCAGTCTTACAAAGAAAGGAAATTCTGACACAGGTCAGAATACGGAATCCTCTATCATAAACCAGTCACAAAAGGACAAGACTACATGACTTTCTACTCACGTGAGGCACCTACAACAGTCACACTCATAAAGACAGAAAGGAAAAGGGCAGTGCCAGGGGCTGGGAGGAAAGAGCAGAGAGCTTTGTTCAATGGGCAGAGGTTCAGTTCTGTAGGATGGAAAAAGAGTACTAGAGGTGAATGGTAATGATGGCTGCACAGCAATGTAAAGGCACTTAATGCCTTACAGATCAGTGGATCTGCTGACTTAAGAATGGTTAAGATGATACATTTTGTTATATGAAGTTTATCAGTTTTCAAAAACATAGTGGGTAGTGGAGAGGCCCTCGTGTGTTGGCCACGTTCCTGGGTAAACAAGTGGGGAAGATGGTGGCAGAGGGAGTTTGACTACTTTAGATTTGAAAGGATTGCTAAGACAGTCAAGTGGAGAAGTCAACTATTCAGATGACACAGGGTGGACAAGAAAACCCTTGGGAGAGAGCTTGGAGAGAGGCAAGGAGAGCTTGGAGAAAAGCAGGATGGACTCAGAGAAAAGTCAACATTTTGGGTAGTTTTAAATGAAAATATGTCTCTCTCTCATTTTTGAGTTAAAGAAAATGCCTTAACAGCAATCATGTATCACTACACTTACGAAAGACAGCATCTTCTCTTAACGACTGCAGACAGTCTGGTCAGGCCTGAGAGCTGATCGTGGCAGTGCCTACTTTGCTGCAGGAGTTGTGGTAAACTATGGGGTACTGTTTTTGGCACAGATTTTATCATAGTAAAATGTAACATCCTGAGTTAAAGCCCCTGGGTTTAGAGGCTCAAGTCACCCACAAGCAAAGGTTTTATTTCTCATGGTTTTTACCCCCTTAATGTTCTCATTTACTGCAGATGATGCACGCTTTGAACTTCTTCAAAATAAAATGCAGGTACTGAACCATACTTTTTCTCTATTCAAAGGAGAAAAAAACTTTAAAATTGTGAACAACTTTTAGAGTGGTAAAGGCTAATTTTAATAAGTGGGTGTTTTCTTCCAGACATATTCGAAAGCACAAGCAAAAAGGCCACCTGTCATCACATTATGGGTTGTTGTAAGAAAACAGCAGTTTTAAATTGGCCTTTGCTCATAGAGCCTTCTAAGAAATATGGATTCAGAATGTCAGAGCTGGCAAGGCCCTGGGAGACCATCTGCGCCTGCCCCGTCTCAGGCCTCCTGATAGGAAGAATACACCCTGCAAACTTACCACTCACTCCTCCCGGAAGCTCCCACCGTGACAACCACCCTTACCACCAAAAGGTCTCTTCTAAAAGCCCATTTTATTTTATTTATTTATTTTTTAGAGACAAGGTCTCAGTCTGTTGTCCAGGCTAGAGTGCAGTGTTCTGATCATAGTTCACTGTTGCCTTGAACTCCTGGTTAAAGCCTTATTTTAGCAAAAAACAATTCCATGGGGTTTGAGAGGGGCCTTCCAGATTCAACTTCACATGGCGAAACCTCTGGGCAGCAGTGGTGCGGGACACAGGCCTTGGGGTGGTTTCTGAGATGTCTTGTGCGGGGAGTGTGACGGAAAGCCCTTCCCAGGCCTGTGTACAAACTCCTGTCTCACCCTCAAAACACTGTCAGTCAAAAAGATTCATGCTAGGCACTCCAGACATGCATCCTACAGACAGTGAGTGAGGCTCATTTGCCTAGGTTAGCGACAAGTCTATTCTGCTCTTTCCTGGCTACCTTTCCTTCTGATCACACTGGAGCTAAATCCCCAGGGTGTAGGGCAGCTCTTGCTTGGGAAGAAAGGGAGAAGGTGAAAAAAGCAGGGTATTATAGGGCAAAGAGGATGTTTTTAACTGGCCTCATTGGAAATATAAACATTCTTGAGATTTCTGTTTACTTCCTGTGACCAAGACTGTCAATAAATTGATAAAAGTGACAAGTTTTGTAAGTTGAGATAATGGGAAGGGAAGTTGGATTTACTGAGCAATCAACAATGGTGATGTGACACCAGTTTCAACAGTGAGCCCATGTGTTCCACACTCGAATGGAAGAGTGAAGGGAGGTGAGTGGGCGTCAGCCCGGGCTGCACCGGAGACTTGCTAGGAGAACAGACACAGTCTCCAGGTCCAGGCCCCAGCCCCAGAGCCTCTGAGGTAATGGCAGACGGCAAAAACCACAAACACAAATAAGACTGCTGGAGCACAAGGGTTTGCTGAACCCTTAATTCAGTCCTGCTATGCCTGGTGTCTGTTTAATTCATGAGTACAATGCTGAGATGGAGGAAGGGCGGCTACAGCAAGAGCAGGAGCCATCAGACACAAAAGCTGGTCAGCCCAAAGGATGCAGGGACATGCAAGGTTCCAAAGAAAGCTTTGTCCATGAAGCAGAAAGCATTCTTTTAAAGAGTCAGGGTCTCGCTATGATACCCAGGCTGACCTCAAGCGATCCTCCCACCTCAGCCTCTCGAGTAGGTGGGATGACAGGTGTGCGCCACTGCACCTGGCCACAGGATAGCATTTTTCAATGGAATGATGTTCACAGCAGAGTCTCGTTTCAGATACAAAATGATCTTCTTGAAAAGCAAACTGTGTAATTAGTTTCTTGTTCATTTAAAGTAAGCTATATTTTTATCCTCCCCAAAATCATTTTAAGGATATAGAGCTGATAAAAGAAACCTGGTCTTCATGAATTCCATGGATTCTCACTGTCTGATAGACTTCCAAGTCTAGCCCAGCTTCCAAACCACCACATGAACCTGAGCATTGCTCATGGTGAGTCCCAGACCCTTCTTGGCTAATCTGAGTAATTAGACTCATTGCAATTCTTAAAACAGCTTATCATTCTCAAATAGTCATTTGGCCTTAATGGGCATGTTTTTTACATTCAAAGTAAAAATGTAAGAGTTGAATCAGGGTGTTATGAAAAAACTACTGAGGTATTAACACTGAGAAAACATAGAAACTAGAACTGAATGAAGGTGCCCTTCCTCCTGCCTAGAAGGTCAGAGCAGTAAGAGTCAGGGACATGTACGAAACTAACAGCAAGCGACAAGAGGCAAATATGTAAAGCCAGCTCCACACTGCCCCTGAGTTCTGAAGCCAGGGCGAGGCAAGGCAGCCTGCACATCTGATACTGCCAGGGGGTCCCACCCAGCTGCCAGAATGATGCATGGCATGGTGTGCAGAGAAGAGGCCATGTTTAACTTGCTTGCTGCTAGTCTTGAACATTTGACCTCAGGTGAGCCACCCACCTCAGCCTCCCAAAGTACTGGGATTACAGTCTTTATCCACCGTGCCTGGCCAGAAATAACCTTAAGAAGTTTCCTTGCATTACAGGAAAAAAATAAATAAATAAGGGAGAAGGAAAAAATGGATACAGTTCCGAGCCTCTAACCACTGGCTGGCGTGGTTCACAGCAGGTCTTGCTCATTAAGAAACACCTTCTTGGTAAAGACAGGGAATTAGAGGGTTTGTGAGGGGCAGAGAGTGACTTTACAGGTACAAGAATGTCAGAGAATATCACAGAGAAAAACAGAATTGTACAACATAGCAATATTCAAAAACCCAACCTCTGCCAGAAGTTTTCCGGACAAAGCCAAGTGTGATGAATGCCTAGTTCCTTCGCGTTGGCTGGCCTGCAATTGCGAACACCAGGAAATAAGGAACACGCCACAGGAAAGGCACACGCGGAAGAAATCTTTCAGAACAAGCGTTATTTGAGGCATGCTTAAGTTCACCAGGGCTCCTCTGGAGAACAGACTAATTTCAGGAAAAGTTGTACTTTATTTTCAACTCAAATTCAAGAACTTATATTGATGTAACTTTAGAAATATTCTGGCAGCAGGCTAAAAGCCAGCATGGCCCCGATCTCTACATGCAAAGGCTCCATGAGGGAGAGCCCACTGCTGTTCAAAACACACGGGCAGCTTCACCAGAAATGGAGGGGGACACTTTTGGCTTTTGGCCAAAATCTGAAAATCCTCTGCCTTTCTCTTCAGATTTCTGGAGAAACAGCTGCCTAATTCTTTCCGTTTCTTAAGGAGGTGACAGTAAGCTCACATTTAGGCCCCGAGAAATCTGGAACATGGCTTGGCCTATAATTTATCAGGGAGCTGATCAGTAGCTATATCCCCTTGCAGCTTCATGAGCTCCACGGAATGACTAACCCTCTGGAGCCTGGGGATGGCCTCCAGGTGTCATGACACAAGGAAGAAGGCACAGATGGCAAAGGAAGGAAGAAACTGGAATGTTCCAAAATTAGTATTCTTCTCTAGACTGATGTCATATCTCACTACACCACTCTGGAAGTGAGGAGATCACTCATGATTTCTGAGTCCTAGGTGAAATCCTCATTTCCTCTTCAGGTGCTTGTGGACTGGAAATGCCCTGAGAGTCAGTGACCATGTGCTGAAGGCACAGCTGACAAGGCAGATCACACACATTAACAGGCAGCAGAGGCACGGAGACAGCACTCCAGAGCCACTTCCAGCAGGTGTCTGCCGCCCACACCCTACTGAGTCCTACCTTTGTGGTTGAAGATGCCCTCCATTTCCATGCTACTTCTGGAGTGGGCGATGCACAGTGAGCCACAGGGGACCAGGCCTTCTGCCGCTGGGGAGCGGTCCGTGGTCCGCACCAGACACCAGTCAGGCTTGTCATGCGGCCGCTCCAGAACTTCCACGGTCTGGCCGCGGCGGATGGTCAGCTCGTTGCTGTTGCAAGCGGTGAAGTCGTGGATCACCACTGTCAGCTCACAGCCTCCAGAAAGCTGGGGGGAACAGAGGAAGAGAGGACAGGTGAGCCACAGCGCCTTCAGGTGGAGCTGGGAACTCAGCCAGGTGGGTTCAGCGCCTCCCCTGCCCCGATGCTGTGTAATCACTGCACTCCCCATGTGAAAATATGATTTTTCTTATGAGCTTCCAAATTCCTTGAACCTGAGATGTCCTTTGTGTTCCTCACAAAGTGGTATTATATGTAATCATTTTTTTAACTTATAGCAAACCAAAAATAAACTCTACTTGAAGGCTATCGGGGGATTTTCATGAAATACAGTAATAAAATGAGATAAAGTTCTGTTGTAAATTTCTCTTCTGACCCAGTGTTGGGCGTTCCATGCTTTGGAGTATGTGGGCTCTTCAAGCATCACTTGGGTCAGGAAAGAGGCAGCCCCAAGAAAGGGACTGAACAGGCAACGGGCCACGACCCTGAAAGTGAAGCAAAGCACACCCGCCTCTCTTCAGAATCCTTCAAGCACCCCCTCCTGTTCATCCAAGGCTCCCCTTAGTCCCAGGCCCTCTGCCCTCAGATTCCTTCCAGGCTCCCCCTGACTCCAGGCTTCAACATGCGGCACCACGGGCTCTGCAGACATCGGCTTGTTTCCCAGAGGCCATGGATTTTCTGGCCTTCTGTTCCTCCCGCCTGACATTACTTTCCCTCCTTCTCTCTTACCATGCTCACTCCCATGTACACCTATTGAAACTCTTTTGGTCCTCAGAAGCCCATCCATAAACTGACGAAACACCCCATGGCCTCTGCCGGTAAAACAAGGGTAGGGTCTTATTACTATCTGATTCAGATGGCCTGAACCCTGGTGTGTGTTCCCTTAGACTGTAAACTCTGTGGGGACAGGGCTCATGTGCTCATTAACATCCCTCCTAAATAAGAATCTTGTTTTTTCTACATGAGAATCTTGAGACCAGTTTCTGGACTGTCCCAGGTTCCATCTCTGCTGTTTCTCCATGCCCCCCTGCATGGGTTCGTCATGCGCTGATTCCTCCCAAGCACATGTCCCAGTGTCAGACTGCTTCTGATCTGCAGAGCCTAGGACATGACTCACGATGCCTTCCCATCCCCTAAATCTGTTTCTCTTCCGGTGCTGCCTTTTGGGTAACAGTACCAACATTAAGTCACTAAAGCTAAAAAAAACCTCACTCTTTTCTTCTCCAAATGCTGTTGAGTAGACGTTAGGGCGGCTCTCTTGATCACTTCCTTTCTCTGCACTCCCACACCAATCTCTTCACTGGGTCCTGTAGGGTCTCCTGAGCAGGCCTCCCTGACAGACTCCAGGTTCTCCTTCCAAGCCATCTAAACACTGCTGGTAGGAGACCTTCTAAAAACATGTCATCCTCCTATGTAAAACCCTTACACACAAAGGCCTTAGCCCAGGATGCAAAGACCCACCCTCCCACAGCAGCCAGAAGCACCTCCCTCCTCCTCCTGAGGGGTACTGCCTGTAACTAGACCATACCATCCCCCTTGCTGAAAGCCCCCACCTCACTTCTATTCTAAGCTCCCCATCGGCTCCCTCTGAGAAGGCCCTCCCCTCCCGTGTCTGCCCTCCATGGCACCTCAATTCTGAAACGAGCCATGGCTGGAGTTATACAGGTGTGTGTCTGCCCTCATTACAGGGAAGCAGGTTCACCTTAGTCTTCTGCCAACTTTCCATGCCTGGACTGAGAGGGCAAAGACAGGGCCAGGCACAGTCACCCTGAGTCCTCCGGGGCCAATGGTGGCAAGCATGTGGCTTAGAGAAGCTGTTAGTAGTGGGGCTCCTCCTCAGCCTGCCTCGTAGTGCTCTGTATCCAGCTGGCATTCAAGTATTTGTAAAATGAAAAAGACAAGATACATATGCTCTAAAAATGAAGGCACTGCATTTGAAAACCCAAAACGAAGCCTAGATTTTTGTCACTCGTTTTAGGAGCTCATTCTGCTGTGCTTAGCCTGCAGCCGCTCACCTCTCTCCTGTCGCCTCCTGCTAAAGTGCAACAGCCCAGACAAACCACAGGGACGCAAGAGTGTGCTGCAGGCTATGGGCTGCTGTGGGAGTGGGAGGTGGGAGGAGGTGAGGAGGGAACGGCCCAGCCTCCTGCTGTGAAACATCCCCTGTTGGGAGTCCACCGAGCACAAGCCTACACCCAGAGACCCGGGAGTCCATACGTCCTCCGATGGCTCACACTCCCGAGCAGAATTCTGGGGCCACCTCCTTGTGCTGAGGACCTCTGGGAGTCTCTATCATGCTCTGTGCTATTGATTACCCTTCTGTTCTAAAAGCCTATCTTTTAAGAGAAAGTTCAGATAGTCAGAATAAGAAACACATGTCCACTAGATAACCACAAAGATCCAAACAAAACCAAACCCTTCCACCATGAAGCACAGTATCGACAAAATGAATCAGCTTTGCTAGGCTGCAAGGAAAATTTTCATAAATTCCCTTCTCAATCTTACACACTTCTCTGTGGAAAACCCATGCTAAATTTTATAGGTCTCTGAACAATCAAAGATGCTGATGTTAAAAGTTCAAAGGTAGAGGCCCAGCCTGGAAAAGAACTTTCCTTGTAGAACCACACTCATGGAGGGTTAGTCCTGTGGCTTACAGCTGGAGCGCTTCCTGTTCCTGGAACACAGGACCAGTCTGCAGGCCCCGGAGGAGGGTCCAGCTTGCCATGGCCCCCTGGACCTGCCCTTCCCAGGCCTCTCGGTAGGGCCTGAGCTCCCCAGTGACGGCACCTGCTGCTTTGCTGAGTGCAAGTGAGAAGTTTCCAGCAGAAACCCACTGGCCTTCCCTGACATTCTTCCAGCAGCCCCCACTCCCGGACGCTGGGAAGTGCAGTCTCATCACCTGCCCTCTGGCTGCCTCATTCTCCAGAGTCTTATTAATTTTCCAGAGGGCTCAAAGCCATGGGCTGTGGGTGGGGGAAGGGTGGGAAGGGGAGAGAGGGGGCTGCCCAGAAAGGAGGATTAAGCTAGACTTTATTTCTGGCACTGATTTTTTAGGCCCTTACAGAGTAATCAAAACTATTGGAAACATCTGTGTACTTGACAGAACAGAAGAAATAAAATCAAGCATGTTCTGCCAAAGAATCATATACTAAGTTAAAATTCCTTTTTAAAGGCTTTTGAGAACTTGTTAAGAAAATCCAACACCAGAATATTTCACACAGCACTATAATTATCATTTTAAAAATCTTCATATCTGCCAGTAAATCAACTGCCTTTACCCAGAGAGAGAGAGAGAGAGAGAGAGAGAGAGAGAGAGAGAGAGGACCTATACCCCGAAGAGGAGGAGTAAGTGAATGGTTTCTAGCCCAGAGAAGAGCTGTCCTGTGGATGCGTCTCAGCGCTCACATCCGATAGTTCGTGCTACAAAACATCTCTTTGAAACCAGGTTTGCTAATTAAAAAAAAGAAAACCAACAAAACTTTTCTGTGTATGTTGCATTGAGGAAGCAATGCGAATTATTACTGCTTTTTAAGAAAAATTAAACTCCGAACTAGAAAACATTCAGCCATTATCTTGTATGTTATGCCTGATGGAGGTCTTGACTTTCAGACAGTTTCTATCCTCGGTTGAAAGAGTTACCATTTTATTTATCTAGTTTAAAAATTCACTTTTCTTTCTAACCATATTTTGTAGGAGTTCTCACAGTATCTTTGTTGTTTCTATGTATTTAACGGGTTTCTGTCATGGGCTCCCACCACATGCATTTAATTTAGGATTGCAATTTGTGAAAAATCGCACTTTCCACGACTCACATTAACACTTGCGAGATTCCTATCAGAAGATGGATTTTTTTTTTAAAACCTTTCAACTTTTCACAATTGAAAAAATGAATGTGGCCACTAGTTACCTTGCAGACACACACTCATGGAGTGGTTCCACAATGATTTGCATGACAATAAAACAGCCTTAATTGGACCAGGGGCCTGGGACCCAGCACTAATGTGCTTCTTCCAAAGACTATACCATGTCTCTCTTTAGGCCGATACATATGGACAATTAGCAAAATCAAATCAGGGTTCCTTTCCTGAATTCTTTCCAGAATGACTGAAAATAAACACTTAATGTGTTTCACCCGAGAGAATGAAATACTCATCTCCGGTTGCAAGCATGTGAACCTTCAACAATTGCCACCCAGAACAGAATTCTACTTTTCATGTTTTCCAAAGAAACCATGTCATATCATCGTCTTGCCCGAATGCAGTTAATGGCGGTAACTAACAAGAGCCGTGGCTGGGGACTTCTCACACTGCGGCTGTCACACCTCCCTTTGCTCCTCAGAACACCCCCGCCCTGGGCACTATAAGGAGGCATGTATGACTCTCCACAGACAGCAGCAACCCTGGTTTGAGTTACCCAGCTTGATGAGTTCCGGGCAGGCTCTGACCGGGAGGCTCTCTAGGACTGCACGGTGGGTGTGCGGTCTTTGCTGCGAACAGTTCTACTTCAACAAGAGTCTAATGTGGTAAAGATCAACTGCAGGTGGGTTCTGGCCAATCTTCTGAGAGCAATTCAAAAGCAAAAGGGGAATGTGGCCCTATAAAAGCCATTTTCCCCTAAAGAACAAAGGGTATGAACTCCTGTGAACCGTCACATCCTACAGCCGACTATGGTTCAGTCATTCAGAAACCTCACAAAAGGGTCTTGCGGTTCCGTGAAGGTTTCACACTGAGTAGGCCAAGAAACGATGACTTGGTTAAAGGGAATTAGAGAGTACAGCTCTATTACTAGCAATGGTTACCAAAAAAGGCAACTACAGGCAGCTAGAACAATTTCCCAAATAAATGGGCTCCCAGCACCCAAGCTTCTCCACAGGGCAGCTTCACGGAGCCTGGCTGATCAGCAGGCATCTAACGGGAACAACACCCTCCGTGCTCACGCCGACGCCAAAGCCACTTTACATCGGGCCAGATTCCAAGAAGCGTTCACTAAAATCTGCCACTTCGAGTTTAAGAGGAAGATTATTGTGATAGGCTCTGATACACTAGGGGT